ATCTGCCTCCCGAGGTCCGGTGTGCCCCCTCCCTCTTGGCCTTCAGAAAAGGGGTTAAATCCTGGCTCTGCCAGAAGGCCTGGGGGCCGGATGGGGGCTTGCACCAGTGGAGGTGGCTTGTTGGATGATTGACCTTGCCCCCTCCATCATCTTGAATGTTTTTAGTTTTTATATATAAGGTTTGTTGTTTAGATTTGATTTTTAATGGATTATTTATTTTAACTATTTATGGGGGATTTTTAATTGTTGATGGGGTTTCTGATTTTAACTGGGAGCTGCCCAGATAAGGTTTGTTGTTTAGATTTGATTTTTAATGGATTATTTATTTTAACTATTTATGGGGGATTTTTAATTGTTGATGGGGTTTCTGATTTTAACTGGGAGCTGCCCAGATAAGGTTTGTTGTTTAGATTTGATTTTTAATGGATTATTTATTTTAACTATTTATGGGGGATTTTTAATTGTTGATGGGGTTTCTGATTTTAACTGGGAGCTGCCCAGAGTCACCCGTTGGGGGGAGATGGGTGGCATATAAAAATAATAATAATAATAATAATAATAATAATAATAATAATAATAATAATAATGATAAATGTCTCTATATACAAATGTTTTAGTTTTCACAAACATTTTAGGAGGGGTAGTTTAGGTGGGATTTTTCAAACTGTGTTCTGCAGAATCTTAGGGTTCTGCAAGAACTTGATTGGATTTGGTGAGAGACTACGGGTGAGGAAGTTGTTCACTTGAATGCAGTCAATTTTCTATCACTAGAACTTTGACTTTTGATGAGGAGTTTGGGGGAGTTTCAGTAACATGTTCTGCTGCCTAAAAAGATTTGAAAACCTCTGGTTTAGGCCATTTGTGGTTGTGGAAACAAGTCTCCCTGCAAACAAATTTTGGATGTATCCATGTCTTATCAATAGTCCCATTTGTCTTTTGTCCAACATGTGGTCTCTTGTCTTCTTTTCCCTTGGTAACAGACCTATGCCCACATACCGAGTGGATGCAGATAAAGGCTTCAATTTCTCTGTGGGGGATGATGCTTTCGTGTGCCAGAAAAAGAACCACTTCCAAGTCACTGTGTACATTGGTATGATTGGAGATCCCAAATATGTCAAGACTCCTGAGGGTTTGAAGCCACTTGAATGCTTCTATCTGAAACTGCATGGGGTGAAGGCAAGTCTAAGAATGGCAAACTGCATCATTTAAAAGGATAGGTGGCAGCCTGATAGGAAAGTTTTAGGAATTGCATAATTGTGTCTCTCATTTCTGTTAAAAAATAAGAATCTACTGAGGAGCTTGTTTACAGTTAGATATAATTCTGAGCAAAAATGGATAAAATGGTACAATATATGGCATGCTTGACTAGCTGAGTTCTAAGTCAGAACTTATAGCCTAAGTTGATAATATCTGTCTTTAAAACATTTGCTCTTCAGTTAAAATTAATTCATATTCAGAACATAAACTATCATTAAACTAAAACTACCACAGTCAAATAACCATTAAAATAAGAAAGATATCCAGTGTATACAGTGGTGCTTAAAAGTTTGTGAACTCTTTGAATTTTAAATATTTCTGCATAAATATGGTCTGACTCTAAAACGTGATCTGTTCTCCACACAAGTCCTAAAAATAGATAAGGAGAACCCAGTTAAACCAACAACCTATGCTTGTTCATTTCTTAATTAAGGAAAATGATTCAAAGCTACATATTTGTGTGTGGCAATATTAATATGGCTTTGGGGCTTGCTAGATGGCTGTATTGATTGACGCATGACTTGCGCTTGCCTGCTTATTATGTTTTCTGGTTTTAAATTTTGGTTTTAATTGGGTTTTAATTTGGTTTTAAAGAGGTTATTAATTTTTTACTGACCTTTGTATTTTATTTATTGGTTGTGTTGTTTGGTTGTTTAATTATGTGAGCCACCCAGGGTCACAAATGTGAAATGGGTGGCTATACAAATTGAATGAATGAATATTACATCATGGACCCAACCACCTCTCTCTCTTGGGTGGCCTTCATCAACCAAGGGGTATCTGAATCTAGTAAACAGGTAATCAGGTTAGCAGAATCTTTGTTTCCTTTGAATATCCAAATAAAATGGACAGCTAATAATAACTGTTGCCTTTTTAAAAATTTCCATTACTGTACAGATTGTCTTTATGAGTTTAGAATAAGGCTTTAAAAAACAAATAGAAAGCATACAATAATTACAGCCCTAGAATTTTTCTTCTACTTATGGTATAAAATTGGATTCTGTGTACTATTAGACACCATCTATATATTGATTTAGAAACATTCAAAGGGGAGTATGGAATATGTTTTTGTGTCCAGGTCTTTTGTAGGGATGCCCTTTATTAAATCATGTTTCTAATATATAGAATTACATGAAGGTAATATATATATAAGACCTTAATGTAATTCTAATATATATAGAATTACAGTAAAGTCTTAACCTGGAGTATTCATATATATTTTGCTCCTACTTCTGTGAAGTTAATTATTAAAATCCATAGCATCAACATTTGTGCAATCCTTGTTAAACTATTCTTCAGTTGCAGTTTGCTAACTATATGTCTCTCTTATAAATATTGACAGAGGGTCTGAATTAGCCAGCAAATTCTTTAATAATTTCCCTGTGTTCCCTACTTGTTGAAAGAATTCCAATCTAACCTAATGCATATACACATCAGAAGACACCTAATTTACACCTAGGAAGTATATATATGTGTATCTGTGTGAGTTTATATGTTCATATGTTCCTTATCTCCTTCCTCTCCTATAAGAAGGATAATTGCCCATCTCAAGTATATATAATTATTTTGCTGCAGTGCTTTAAAATGAAGAGGTGCCTCTTTAAGAATGTACTGTATACATGTAAGAATAGAGTATAAGTCAGAACAAAATTCTCATGATGGTCTTTAAAATAGACCTGGATCTTTCTTTTCAGCTGGAAGCACTAAACCAGTCAATCAACATAGAACAGTCCCAGTCGGACCGCAGCAAAAGGCCCTTTAATCCTGTCATGTGAGTACTGCCCAGGGCTTCAGGGAGGAGTCAGGCATTGGGGTCAGAACAATAGGCTGCATATTTACTTCTATGCTTAGTTCTCATCTTTTTTTCTTTTTTTGTACTTTCTCTTTAAATGCTGGCTCCCTCCGTCTCATGAAGCCTCATGATCCTTGGTTTTTATCAAATCTGCTTGCCCTGCTCCAGCTGATTAATTGACAGATGCAGACCCTCCATTGCTCTAATGATTTCCCTTTTTCAGGGTCAATTTGCCTCCAGAGCAAGTCACAAAGGTCACAGTGGGGCGATTGCACTTCAGCGAGACCACAGCCAATAACATGAGGAAGAAGGGGAAACCTAATCCTGATCAAAGGTAAGCTTCCACTTGGTGACTTTTATTTAAGGTCTTCCAGGGCTATTCTTCAATGTGAATGTTCTCAGGATAGTAATCAAATACGTAGAAATGTATATGAAAATGAAAAGAGCTTGTAGTTAAGGATTCCAACAAGGGAGGCCCAAATTCAAGGTCTACCTTCAGCCATAGAATCATACTGAGTAACTGGCTCAATTATTCTCTTGCAGCCCATCCTACCTCACAACCTTCTTTTTTGTGAGGATAAAATGAAGAGAAATCCCCATGTAAGCGGCCCTAAATGAGGATAGCCCACTATTCATTCCCCCAATACCTGTCTGTGTGCCTCCACCTGTATCTCACTATCACTGCAGCTGAGTCAGCCTGAGGATGGCTTAAGGTGCTGCACTCTGGAAGTGTTTTCCTAATATCCCATCTCAAAAAGCTGTGCCCAGGCAAAGTAGGAAGTGGTGAAGTGCACTGGTGAGGCAGCCCAAGTTGACATGCTTTTGCCAATAATCTTGTGGCTCCAATGGATTCTGCTGGTTTCCTTTGGGACCACTTCTTCAGTTTGACCCTGAATTATTCACCTGCCCTTCAATCCTCTTTTGCTTGCAAGGAGACCAGAACTCTGTCTTCTGCAGCCACTTTTATTTTTTAAATGAGTGGGTTAACTAATGCAAAGCCCTGAAATTGATCAGCCTGTGCCTGTAATTGGAAGTGTAATTGAAAGGACTTGGCTCTTGTGTTTCTGTACAGTAGTCTCTTTGCAGGGGATTCCCTTTCCCATGCTGCTGCTTCCAGGGAAGCTCTGGCTACTTCCTTCATCTCTTCATATTCTCTGCCCTGAGATTTACAGTTTACAGATCCCACACTGATCCCCTAGCGAAGCCTTTCTCAGACTCCAGTTCTTTAGTAGGATTTATCCCATGGCTGCATCTCAGTGGCACAAATCTTGACTAGCATTAGATGGCAGCCAAGAGACACAAAATAATGGTAACTCTTTGCTGCCACAAAGAGGTAGAACAGTCCACCTGTTGATCCAAAGTTTCAAGAAATAATAATAGTAAAAATGTTCAACTGGTAGACAGCGCATTGGGAAAGCAAAAAATGGTAGCGCATAGAGAAAGCATAGCTTTGTGAGTGCCAACTGGAGGAGGCTGAAATTTCAGCCAAGAGAACCACCAGTCACAGCCCTTACACTGTTTTGCACTAAAGTAGTGTAGACAGCAGTGCAACACAGATCTGTTCAAAGTGTGTGGTAAAGACATTATATTGTAGGGGTACCAAGATTTAGGGTGGCATGATTTCCTGCCAGCTTTGAGATGAGATGGGAGAGGAGCATAGCAAAGCAATTGCATGGATGTGGCCTTAGAAAATACACGCTGCCCATCTGCTGGAATTCCCTGAACTGTTTATAGCTGTTCGTCTGAAATAACACTACCCTTTTCTGTGAGAAATGAGCAGGATTTAACTTGCCAGGTCCATACAGGGAGCTTTATTTTCACTGTCAATGCTACGCAAAGTAGTATATCTGTATTGCCCTCTTGTTTCTCCGCCCCAGATCTCAGATTGCTCTCCCTTCCAGACAGAGGAAGAACACTGAATTGTAAAATGCACGATTGGAATTTAATACCTCGGATTTATTTTTGTAAAATTGTAACTTAAAATAATAACTTGAAAAGCAAGTGGGCTTAGAAAAAGTTGGTTTTGAGTTCTCTAGTATTTTGATGTGACTGATTTTATGTCCTGTTTTTACATTTCCTGTCTAGAAAACAGTGGTTTTCACTTGTGCTGGGCTAGATTTATCCTTGATGCCCATTCAGGAAAGGTGACAGAGAATGATGAGCTCTGCAAAGCTGTCCAATTCAGATAATTTTAAATGAACTGCTGGAATTTTGCAGTTATATTGTAAATGTATTTTGCAGCTCTACAGGGTAGTCTGCCACCACCCCTGGTAGGTTTTCAGAGCCATTACCATAGACTGAATTAATTGGTTTTCAGTAAGTTGTGAATGCAATTTAGTTCTAAGTAGAGTTGTTCAAATCTCTGACAATGTTTTTTTCATCTTTTTTATTTTTGCATTAAGGACTGGAGTACATTTGAAAAAGTGTTTACCATGTTTTTAGAAAACCTCATATTTCACATATACTGTACTGTATGTCCAGTTGTGGATTAGGGAAAGTCTATGTTTATCTGGTCCTGTCTTGTTTCAGATACTTCATGTTGGTTGTGGCTTTGCAAGCTCACTCTCAAAATCAGAACTACACTCTGGCTGCTCATATCTCAGAGCGCATCATTGTTAGAGTAAGTCTATTCCCTTCCCTTCCCTTCCCTTCCCTTGCAACATATCCTTCCCTGACTGTGAGCGTTCAGAGCCTTATACTTTACTTGACGGGAGTTCCTTGATGTTCTTAACCCTAGTGCCAGTCTGCCCCTTATTCCACAATGTTCCTTGCTTTTCTTTTCTCATTCACAGTCCCCTCCACCCTAATCTTGCTTAGCTTCCTGAACTCTGATTCTTTCTTCTACACAAAGAAGGCCTTTGGCAAGTACTTATACTGAGAGAGTTCCAATGTTTTCAAGGCTTATAGGTTCCAAGTAAATATATGTGCAAGGAAAGCAGGTTTAATCTTAGAGGGTACCTAGGAATATTGAATAATAGACAGTGCAAGTGATGTCCACGTGTAGAAGCTAATCGTGTAATTGTATCAGTAATAACTGATTCCACCAGTTAGATTGCATTTCAGCAAACTTCGCTGTTCCGTGATGCAAGCCACAAGGCAAGTCTCAAGGATCAGATATTCATCAGTTTTGCTGAAGTTAAACCAGCCCCAGAGATTGCACATTTGCAGACATATGCCTTAAAGTTCTCAGAAAGGAAATGCTGAGCACAGGTGAGGGGGACTTGTAGAAGTATTATGACTAATTTCACCTAGGGTCATACTTTATGAAAATGGGGATATTTCTGTCCTTTTGGCTTTGGACCATAACATACCAATTGTGAAAGTGATGCTCCCAAATAGGATCAACTAATTAGACTTCTTAGCAAGTATCCAGGTGGAATGTTTATTCACTTTAGATTGAATAACCTTGGGAAAAGGCATGTGAAGAAGTCAGTTGTGGCTCTTCCACTGCCAGGGTTAGTTAGCAAATAAGGACACTAAGCTGTGACTTTGTAGTTGGCTGTCTCCGCCCTGCTGCCTTTTTAAGTGCTGTGTCCATTTCCTCTAGCAAAGGGCCGGTTCGGGGGTAAAACACAAACAGAGGGCAGACGGGGACCCCGGAGTCTGCAGACAAGTAAGTAACATGCTGACTTATGCAGTCTCCGGGGTCGTGGGGGTGGGGGACCTTTGTTGTAGATAAGTGGGTAAAGAGAGTTATATCCAGGGTGAAGCTTAGCTGCATCCAGTTTGAACAGTGAGGGTAAGGATCTGTCTGCATTAGCACAAATATGTGGTTTGGTTGTAGATTAGAAGCATAGGTGAATTGCACATATTGCAACACCAGTAAGATTGTGCAATGTATGCAATTGTATCAGAAACAATGTCGTACCATGTCTCTTCCCTGGAAAGAGATGTATTTGCTGCATGGGGCATTTTTAGTAATTTGCCTGTATGATAATAGTAGTTAGGTATTGTCACTAATTTACAGTTCCATATTAGTTTTATTTTTTTTAATCTAATTTTTATTGGTGCATGACAAAATATAATAAACAAAAAGCAATAATAATACAACAGTGAGATCACAGAAATATACATAATAATTAAAAGGAACTAAAACTGAACATTAAAAAATCTGCATAATGTTAATATTAGAACTAGCTCAATCCGTTAACATACAGTTACATCTAGACCATATGGAAATACACTACTCCATATTCTCATTTTTATACTATAAAATCCTGATGTTAGAGAGGATTCAAGAGATGTGTTCCTTATTGATTTTTTAAATGTCTTTATATTGCAATATGTTTTCATAAAGAAGACAGCAAAAAGACATCACCTTGCCTAATAGAGCTTAGAATCTAAACACCATAGGACAATCAGGAGATGCTAGTATCTATGGGATAGAGGTGAGCAATTATAGGTGAGTTTATTTTTGTTTACAGTGTCAGCAAAGATACTTTGCTGCCTGAAGTGCAGCCTAAATGATGCCCATTCCCAACTATAGCCACCACTCCTCCCCTGCCCCCCTCCAATGTTGCACCATTCAAGCACCATTCTGTCTCTTTATGTATGATACTCTTATGATGCCATCTGAAGCAAATTACTTCTGCCCACATTGCAGATGAAGAATGAGAAAAAGAATCATGGCAAAGGCTATCAAGTGACTTTTTGGCACAGATGCCATCTGAAAAAAGTCCTTTGAAGTGTAGACATCCTGTGAGTCAGATCTCATTATTTAAGTAAGAGCACATTTAGATTGTAAGAATACAAGGAATGAAGAAGCTTATTTTTCTGTTGGAGTCCCAATACTAGTAAACTTGGAAGACTGGAACAGTCTTTTCCCAGTTTTTCCTGAAAAAATAAAAATATGACTTTTGGAAATGATTTGTTATGTGTAGTATTTTAAACCACTGCTCAGTGCTTTGTTCCATTTTATTTCAATTGCTGCACTGCTTTCAATTTGTATGGTATATTTTACGGTTGTTTTTGTTATTGCTTCAATTGTTTAAAACACTATAGATTTTGACTTTGGTCAGCAATTACATAGAAATGCTTTATATGAGTAAAATCAATAAGGAATAACGTGTAGACTCAGTTTATAAGAGCAATGAATTATTCAGCAATTACGAGTTGTAGAAATTGGAAATTACAGTACAAATTTCTCCCACCAACAAGCAGTGTATAAAAAGGTGGGTAACAGGCCTGATACTGTGATCTACCAATTTTTCTGTATGGTACTCTTACAAAAGAGAGTACTTTGCACAAGATCACATACATATGTTACCTAAAATAAGGCTCTGTTTGATCTCCTTAGTATATCTATTAATCCTGTAACCAGAATTGTTGCATACTAAGTAAATATGCATAGAAGAAAATATTTTGCTCATCAAGGAAAAAAGTTTAAACCTCTGTGAAACACTTAAGTCTTTACTATTTGAAATCCCACTGAAACATCTCAGTGGGAAATTAATCTGTTTAATGTTCAACTTGGCATGAAAACATAAGATTTAAACCATGTACTCTAGATACCTACTGGCAGGGATATGTAGAACGAAATTATAATTCTTGAAGTAGCTGGATAGAATCTTTATTTTCTGTTGTGTTGCTCTCTTTAGTAAATTAGCATTTCAGTTACTCTCTCAGTGCAGGTGACAATAATGTATTGAATTTTGAAGGGAGCACACGAGGGAAGAAGGATGGGTTGGCGATAGTTTGAATCTAAGGCTCAATTTTGGGATCTGTTTTTGATGGAAAGGTACATATTTGGCTAGATGAAATAGTGGTGAAGAGAATGCAAACAAGCATTTGGTGAGGGGATATCTGTGTCTGTGAAGGGAAATAGCACAGGTGAGCAAAAGAAATGAGAAAGAAGATGCTCCTGTGCTACCTGCTGGACTGATATATATATCAGAATAT